TTGATTTATTGTAGAGATGAGGTCTCACTGCCCAGGCGAGTCTCGAACCCGCGGGCTCAGGCAATCCACTCACCTCAGCCTCCCAAAGGTGCAGGATTACAGGCTGAGCCATCGAGCCCGGCTAACCTTCATATATTGCATTTCCCAAACCGGGTGGGAAGAGAACCTAAACGGCGACTCAGTCCCTTCCAAATCTCAAACTTCAGTGTTACATGATTCTTTGGGTAGAATATAGGAAGGCGTAGATATCATTTGCTAAAGTATTCCTCTAGAAGAAGACATTCATACCCACTTCTTATTCAAATAGGCACCCAAATAACTTTAAAGGAAAAAAAATACAGTTAGATGAGATTAAGCTGCATGCCTCCAAATAACTGCAAGTGCATGAACATTTTTAAAAGTGGAAACCTATTCATGAAACCATGAAATAGAGGATTTTTTTCTGAGCTAAACATTAATGCATTTTCTACCTTTTTTGATGTATCATTTACAAATAAAAATTGTATCTACTTACTGTTGACAATATGATGATTCACTGTACGTATACATTGTGAAGTGATTACCACAATCAAGCTAATTAATATATCGTCATCTTACAGTTATCACACATAGGGTGTGTGTTCTGAGAACATATAAGACCTACTCTCTAACAAATTTCCTGGCTTCAATATAGTATTATTAACTAGAGTAACTACGTTGTACAGTGGATTCCCCAACTTGTTCATCCTGCATAACTGAAACTTTGTATCTTTTGACCAACATAACCTTGTTCCCTCAATTCCCCAACACTGGCAACCACCATTCTACTCTGTGCTTCCATGACTTCAACTTTTTCAGATTCCACATGCAAGTGTGTCTATTTGGATGGCTATATGATTTTTATTTTTAATTTTGTTAATGTGGTGTCTGACATTTATTGACTTGGATCTGTTGAAACATCCTTGCATGCCAGGGATAAATCCCTTTTGAGGGATCTCATATGATCCTTTTAATGTGCTTTTGAATTTAATTTGCTAATATCTTGTTCAGGATTTTTGCATCTATGCTCATCAAAGGGGCCGACCTGTAATTTTCTTTTCTTGTCATGTCCCTGTTCTAGCTTTGGCATCAAAGTAATATTGGCCTCATAAAATGAGTTTGGAAGTATTTTCCCTCCTCTTCAATTTCTGGAAGAGTTTGTGAAGGACTGGTATTAATTATTCTTTAAATGTTTGGTAGACTTCACCAATGAAGACATCAGGTCCTGAACTTTTCTTTATTGGGGGTTATTTATTTATTTATTATTACTGATTTAAATATTGGCCTGTTTAGATTTTCAATTTCTTCCTGATTTAGTTTTGGTAAGTTGTGTGCTTCTAGGAATTTATCTATTTCTTCTAGGCTATTTACTTAGTTGATATATGGTTTTTTTAATAGTAGTATATCATAGAGGCTTTCTTATGAGCCTCTATATTTCTGTGGTATCCGATGTAATGTTTCCTTTTTCATTTATAATTTTATTTACTTAGATCACTCTTTTCATAATTAGCGTAGCTAAAAATTTCTCAATTTTGTTTATTTTTTTAAAAAACTTGGTGTCCTTAATCTTTTGTTTTTCTAGTCTCTATAGCACTAATTTTTGCTTGGAACTTTATTGTTTCCTTTCTTCTGCTGACTTTGGTCTTAATTTGATCTTCTCATTGCTTCAGATGTAAAGTTAGGATATTTCAGATCTTTCTGTTTTCTTTTCTTTTTTTTTTTTTTTTTTTTTTTGAGTTGGAGTCTCACTCTGTCGCCCAGACTGGAGTGCAGTGGCCGCTCCCGGCCACCGCAGCCTCGACCTGCCGGGCCCCGGCGATCCTTCGCCTCCGCCTTCCGAGGAGCCGGAATGACAGGCACGCGCTACCACGCCCGGCTGATTTTTTTATTTATTGTAGAGATGCGGTCTCGCTGCCCAGGCGGGTCTTGAACCTGCGGGCTCAGGCCATCCACTCACCTCAGCCTCCCAAAGGTGCGGGATTACAGGCTGAGCCACCGAGCCCGGCTTTTCTGTTTTCTTAATGCAGGTGTTTATTGCTGTAAATTTCCTTCTTACAATTGCTTTTGCTGCATCCTATAAATTTTGTTATGTGTGTTTTCATTTTCATTTGTCTCAAGATAGTTTTTGATTTCCTTTTGAATTATTCTTTGACTCATTGGTTTTTCAAGAATGTGTTAATTTTTACCTATTCGTGAGTTTTCCTATTTTCCTTCTGTTATGGATTTGTAGTTTTATACCATTATGCTTAGAAAAGATATTTGATATTATTTCTATCTTCTTGAATTTGTTAAGGTTTGTTTTGTAACCTAACATATGACCTATGCTGGAGAATGTTTTGTGTGTGTTTGAAAAAAATGTGTCCTCTGCTACTGTTGGAAGGAATGTTTTGTATATGTCTGTTATGTTTACTGATCTATGGTGTTGCTCAGGTTCAGTGTTTACTGATTATCTATCTGAGTGATTTATACATTGTTGAAAGTGTATTACTGTCTATTTCTTCTCTAGTTTTGTTAATATTTGTTTCTAATATTTAGGTGTTCTGATGTTGAGTACATATGTATTTACAACTGTTATATCCTCTTGATGAGTTGACCCTTTTATTGTTGTTTCATACTTTCTTTGTCTTTTGTGGCAGTTTTTGACTTAAATTCTATTTATTTGATATAAGGATAGCCACCTCTGCTTTCTTTTTCACGATTTGAGTGGAATATCTTTTTTCTTCCTTTACTTCCAGTCTACGTATGTCCTTAATGCTAAAGCAAGTCTCTTATAGGCAGCATATAGTTGGAGTTTGTTTTTTATTCATTTAACTGTTCTTTTACTTTGAGGAATTAATACATTTACATTTAAAGTAATTATTGATAGGTAAGGACTTACTACTGTCATTTTGTTCATTGTCTTCTGACACTTTTGTAGTTTCTTTGCTTCTTTTTTTCTCTTGCTCTCCTGTTTATAATTTATTAATTTTTTAGTGACATGCTTTGATTTCTTTCTGTTTATCTTTTGTGTATCTAGTGTAAGATTTTCTTTGTGGTTATCATGAGACTTATGTAGAATATTTTACAGGTATAACTGTCTATTTTAAATTGACAACAACTTTGCATATAAAAACTCTACATTTTAACTTCTCTCATCTTTTTTATTCACTTCATAACATATCTTTTATATGTTATGTATTCATTAGAAAATTATTGTCTCTATAATTAATTTTAATGTTTTTGTCTTTTAACCTTTTTTGAGTTGGAGTACAATTCCAGGTTAATTATACAAATGTTCATTATGCAGCTACCCTTGTGGATGAGGTATGTCCCCCATCTCCCCTGGCAGAATCCCACTACTGCCAATCCTGCCCTCCCTGGCAATTTCCCACTATTGATAATCCTTTTCATATAGTATTATGATAATTGTTCAAGGTCCACTTATGAGTGAGAACATGTGATACTTAGTTCTTTGTTTCTGTGATAGAACACTCAGCATTATAGACTCTTAATTCATCCAAGTTGCTGTGAAGTTCATAATTTTGTCCTTCTTTATGGCTGCGTCATATTCCTTCATGCATATAT